AGAAAAATATAAATGTAATAAAGAAATAAACTAGCACATTAAATGTAATCTTTGCTTACCTGAAATGGTTTTACTTTAGCATAGAGCTCTTCATACAAGTTTCTCCAGTGCTCAGTCTCAGCATCACACGTGCTGGGAGTGAATGAACGACAATATGGGATTAAACAAAAAAATGTAACGCACACAGAGACTTGAGCACTGCATGTCTTCGTGCATGAGGACACTGATGGACTAGAGACCTCGTTGAGTGCATTGTAACTTTCTCACCTCTGCAGCTGAGCCTCTGAGAGTTGTTTGTGGTGGTCTTGCCTTTCCTCTTCCATCTGTCTGCATAGCTGTCGTCTCTCCTGCTGCCACTCAACAGCTTGATGCTCAGCTGCGTCTCTTTCCTCCTGCACCTGCCTGTTGAGCTCAGAAACCTTGTCTTCCAGTTCCTCCACGCGGCCCCGCAGCCTGCTGGCTTCTGCAGAACGGCCCTCCACTGACTGCCTCTTCTGTTCTCTCTCCAGCTGGGCCTGAGCCCGCTCTCGCTCTCCTCTCTCCTGCTTCACCTCCGCCTGCAGGCTTCTCAGCTCCTCACTCAGAGTCTCTGCTGCTTGCTTCAACTCTTCCTCTCTCTGAGCCAGCTTAGTCTGAACTTTTAAAAGCATCCTGTAACACAGCAAAACCACCAGCAGTTATCAATCACTTAGACATTGTCAGACATTTCAAAACGGTGAATATTCTGTATAGTTGAAGTATGACTTGATGGGAGTAGTAGGGATGGCAAAAATGTGTTGCGTATATTAATAGATTAATATTTGCCATTTAACCTGTTAACAAAAATAAATGCAGTTATTTAATATAAATATTTAAAATACTGTTTTTATGCCGTTTCCACATTAATGTGGATATAAAAATGTGAAAACATTTATGATAGTAAGATTGGATTAAAAAGGATTGTTATAAATGACGGACCATCACCTTCAACTCAACCTGGCTAATACAGAACTGCTTGTGGTTTCAACAAACCCATCACTTTATCAATTTCACCATCCAGTTAGGCTCATCAACCATAACTCCTTCAAAAACAGCTAGAAACCTTGGAGTTGTGATTGATGATAAGCTGAATTTCTCAGATCACATTGCTAAAACTGCCCGGTCCTGCAGATTTGCTTTATACAACATTAGGAAGATCAGGCCCTTTCTTTCAGAACATGCAACACAACTCCTTGCTCAAGCTCTTGTTCTATCCAGGCTGGACTATTGCAATGCTCTCTTGGCAGGTCTTCCAGCCACTTCTATCAAACCTCTACAATTAATCCAAAATGCCGCTGCAAGATTAATCTTTAATGAACCGAAAAGAACACGTCACACCTCTGTTCATCAGTTTACACTGGCTACCAGTAGCTGCTTGCATTAAATTCAAGACATTAGGCTAACCGAGACTTGTCATTTGCACTTATATATTGTTGCTCTTTTGTTAGTTTTGACTGCTTTTATTGTCCTCATTTGTAAGTCGCTTTGGATAAAAGCGTCTGCTAAATGACTAAATTTGACAAGGCAGGATTTAAATAACCAGCATCAAAAGGAATCATAAAATCAAATATCAAATTACAAGCAATCATATATTAATTTTTTAATGTTTAAAATTGTGTATTATCTATTTAATCTGCAGATAAAAAGGCCTGTTTTAGAGAAATACAAATCTAATTAATAAATAAATTAAATTTTTCAATTTATTGTAATTTGTATTTATTATTTTTAATAAATTCAGTGGTTTGGACATTTGGCCGCAATACTAACTTTTAATTACATTTTTTAATTTTAGCACGGGTATATTTGTAGCAATAGACAAAAATACATTGTATGGGTCAAAAATCATTAGGATATTAAGTAAAGATCATGTTCCATGAAGATATTTTGTAAATTTTCTACTGTAAATTTATCAAAACTTTTTGATTAGTAATATGCATTGCTAAGAACTTCATTTGGACAACTTTAAAGGCAATTTTCTCTATATTTTGATTTTTTTTTTGCTCTTTCAGATTCCAGATTTTCAAATAGTTGTGTCTTGGCCAAATACTGTTCTATCCTAACAATCATTCAGCTTTCAGATGATGTATAAATCTCAATTTAAAAACATTTAGCCTTATGACTGGTTTTGTTGTCCAGGGTCACATTTTATTCAATATTTAAGTTTAAAATACATTTGAATATATAAACAAAAATTTTGATTAGTCAATTACAATATCCTCATCACCGTGTTTATTTATTTTGTGGTAATAACTGACTGAACATTATTCTTCTTAACCTTGGACCACATTATCAACTATGTAGGAGCTGCCTATATATGGGAAGCATAGCAGATGAATACTGCAAACCTCTGAGGCAGGATACTGACCCAGCATGCTCCTCTCGCTGTTTATCCTGCATTTCCTGGTAGCTTATGAGTTTCTGCTGGTCCTGCTGCAGCTGTTGCTTGAGTTGGTTCATCTCCTCCTGCAGTTGATGGGCTTGAGCCTCTGCCTGCTCCTTCTGCTCACCCAGAGACCGTCTTGTGCTTTTGGAATTTAATGAGAAAATATTTGATGCAGACACTTAATGATGCTTGGGTGGGAAGATTAAAGATTAGCATTTTAATAAACGAAAAGGTGTTTAAAGTAACACCTCTCATAGTCAGTAGTCACATCTCCCAGCTTAGCAAGACAGCTGTTGTGATCCTCTTCTAGTTTTTTGATTGTCACCACATGAGCCTCTTCTAAAGCCTGCATCTCAGTACACTTCCTGCCAAAGGAGAACCAAACACTGGTCAGTTTTTACCAAAGTGATGTGATCAATCTCAACTCAATTAGAAATCGTAAGTTCTCACTTCTCTAACTCAGAGCAAGTGTTCTTCAGGTCTTGCTCCAGTGTGTGGTTATTCTGTGTGAGGTGCTGGATGGCCTCCTCACTGCATTGCTCCTGCTTCTCCAGCTCCGACAGCTCCTCGAGCGCGTCCTCCAGCTCCTCGCCAAGCTGTCTCCTCTCCACCTCAGTCTCATCTCTCAGGCGCTCAAGCATGCTAGCCAGGGAGTCGCTGTGAGTCTGCAGCAACACACATTAGAGGATCTTAAGAGACATTAGCCTAATCCACAAAGTCGATCAGGGAGACTTTGACTTCCTGACTGAGAGACGACACAGTACAACCTGCTTAAAGTCTATTAAGATGCACTCTTCACTTAATTGTCCCACTTATGCAGATATAAATCACATGGCAACTTTATTCACTATTGATTTTTCCTCTAAAAGTACCACAACTAATCACAGAATGGCATGTTAGTAAACTCTTTTCCATGTCGTGTCCAAAGATACAGATACTCAAGCTAATGAAATACTGGAATACAAGAAGCAAAAAGCTTCTAACTGCCCTTCAGAGCAAAGGGATGAACAATAAATGTGCAGCAATGAATTGAGGAAAAGAGGAAAAATATCCCAATAATATAATGTGTAAACAAATTTATGCTTCCTCAGTGCTGTATTAAACAATGCTGTATTCTGTGCTGATTTTCTTTGAGGTCTGACAATAAAATTAAATAAAAGATTTATATTAGTTATATTTTTCCTGGTCGGTTTCTATTTACCATTTTTGATGAGCCCTATATATAAAAAATCTCATGGGTTTGGAACAACATGAAGGTGAGTAAATAATTTTCAATTTTGGGTACAATACATCAAAAACAATTGAGTACCCATGAGCATATTTCAAATTATATATATAAAAAAAAAAATTGCAAACTTTCTGTGCCAATCAAGCAACTGCTATTTAATTGAATGGGACTGCTACCCAAAACAGAAGTTAAAGGGGTCATATGATGCTTTTTTAAAGATCATTATTTTGTGTATTTGGTATAACAGAATATGTTGACATGCTTTAATGTTCAAAAAACACATTATTTTTCAAATACTGTACATTATTGTAGGTCCTCTATGCCCCGCCTCTCTCAAACGCTTCGTTTTCTACAAAGTCCCTCCTTCCGACAAGCGCAGTCTGCTCTGATTGGCCAGCTGACCCAGTGCATTGTGATCGGCCGAACACCGCAAGCACTCATCGGAAATGTAACGCCCCTTACCATAATCGCGAGCTTCATCTTTCAAAATAAATGTAAAGACAGAGCCCGAAAGGGGAACAGAGTCATGTGACAGACACAGTGATGAAGCTGGTATGTGTTTG